GTCCTTGCAAATTTTCACTCCATCATCTCTTCAGATTCTCTAACATTACTGTGACAGATTTAGGTGACAGACTTAAGCACCCCTGTTGCACTGACCAGTACCTTGTATATGGCATGCTCTCAATCTCATGATGCATGATCATTCATGGCTGCAGATGCCCCTTTGCATAAGGCGAATGTCCACTGATATACATTGGACACGTTGTGATATATCTTTATATGGATGGGAGGCCACTGGAACAAAGAACTATTGATCTAAAAGAGGAAGACTAGTATCACTGTACCCACTTCAGCAGTCCGTGAGATTTCTCCTTTGAAAATAAAGCCAAAAACCTGTAGGTCAGTTCAGCTAGACAGATCAAAGATCTTCAATGTGAACAAGCTGAGGTAGTTTGGCATCTAACATTAGTCTTTATACTTACTCTGAGATTTCCACAGAGTCTGATTAGTGATGTCTTTATAATGCAATGATATGTTGTCCTAAATGTTGTGGTGGTGCCTGGGAAATTAGTTTGAACTGTGTCTCATTCTGCTGGATGGGATCCATTACAAAAAGATGATTTCCCTTGCAAGAGATCCAAAGGTTCATCTAAACTAGCTAACACATTAAACACTCTGGTGTGCATGCTGCGTTTTCGAAACACGTTACTTAGACAGTGTTTTCTTTCTAATATTGAAGAGTTCTGACAATGTCACTTGGCTGTGTCACTCTCATGAGCTAAGAAAGATACAAAGATAGTGTTTAGCCAGTTTTCTGCACTGTCTAATTTTGTGCTGGCAGGCTGAATTCCTGAGGTATTCTAGATGAGTCTCAGAGCTGCCTTAATTTATGCTACTCAAACCATTTCCTTCTGCGCCATTTCACAGGTGCAGGATCAGCAGAGAAATTCACGTTCCACTTCCTGATCGCCCCTGCTCAGTGTCTACCACAGTTTATCCCTGAATTCTCAGCAAGGGGACAAATGCTGCCCCCAAGCTTGAAAAAGCTTTATTGATCTGAGAATGCTCAGAGAGATTCTGCACAATACAAACTGCAACTACACCCCTCCACCACACTGCTTGCATATGACTACAATTTTCACGAACGCTCTCAATTTTTTGCTAGTATTTTAGTTGCAGCAGGTCACATAGTAAGACAGAAGGTTGCATCTGGTACCTTTCCAGAGATCCATTCTCTTTTGATTTTGTTTTCACAAAATAAATAATTTTTATTTGTCAAGTCTTTCTAGAATAGAAATTTGGGCTCCAACTCTTTAGCTGAAAGAAACCATCGAATCTCCCTGCAAGTTTTTCCTGATGTAAAGGTACCACCTAGCTGCCACATCTTTGTAGAGTCTGGAGTTGAAATGGACACTCAAATAAATAAAAGCCACACCTGCCGCAGGCCAGTTCCCATCTCTATTTGATTATGTTGTTTTCTTACAGAAGATTTTTGATGGCTGTAGCTAATCTAGAAACTTAAGGGCGATAATTGGACAAATCAGTTTAGTTGGGCATCTGATTCTGTGCAAACCAAAGTTGAACAGTAATGCGTGACTAATACACAACAGCACTCTGCATGAGATAAAGATGCATGTGTAACATATGCAGCACAAACCCAAGACACTGTGGGAAGAAAAGACAAAGATATGGAACAGTATATACATGTGCTACTCCTATACTCCAAAGTGCACTCTTTTCTGCAGGACAAAAGTGCCATAGGGACAGTGAAGCAGGACCTTCACTCTCTGCCATCAGGTACCCCAAGATCCCATTGTTCTCTGTTCCTTCTTGTTCCAGTCTGGAAACTTCTCACCTCTGATCCAGCTTAATTGACCATAGAGTATGTGCCTGCTGATAAGCCAAGAGCCTCATTTTAAATGAAAATCTGGAATACTGTAATTCTTGTTCTCTGTTATTTAACAATAGTTGCAGATCATGAAAAAAACCTACTTTTTTTTTGTGCAAAATATAAAATCATTAGGTGTTCCCAGCTCCCTGGCCTTAATTCTGAGCCTGCATATGTTGGTATTTCATTTTATGCCTCCTAAGCTAAAAAAAAAAAGGAACTCAAAAGGATTTCTTGGGGCTGAGGGGGAGAGAGAGGCATAGGTATTTTACATTGGCACAGCCAATGGTGGATGCTGTGTCAGCAGACTTGGAGCCACTGTAGAACATCCCAGAAGATTATGTGTTTTAAACAACAGCTCCCTCCAGAAATGCTGAGTATCTACACTCAGGTCTGTGGATCAGGTGTAGTAAGTTCAGTGGGTCCAAGAATCTTAGTACTGTCCTGCAGCAGTGACGCCTCTCTGTACATATGGCACATGTGGACCAACAAGCCATGTCAGAGTTGGTACACACGGTTGTATGTACCAGTTGTCAGGTATCTCCAGTCCCTCAACCACCAGTGAGTCCAGCATAAAACGTGTCACAGCCACTGCTTACGGATCCGCCAGTGTCTGGAGCAGGATGCTGGAGGAACATTGTACAACAGTTAAAATTATGCCCCTGCTGGTGGTTCTTCACAGGAAAGCAGCAATGGAGTAGGTATGGAACGAGCAGCTCTTGTGAGACCCCACCTGGAGAACTGTTCTGGGGTCCACAGCACAGGAAGGACATGGACCTGTTGGCGCAAGTCCAGAGGAAGGCCATCAAGTTGATTAGAGGGATGGAGCACCTCTCTTGTGAGGAAAGGCTGAGAGAATTGCATTTGTTCAGCCTGGAGAAGAGAAGGCTTCGGGATGACTTAATTGTGGCCTTCCAGTACCCTGAAGCGAGCCTACAGGAAAGCTGGAGAGGGACTTTTTATAAGTGACATGGACAAAGGGGGAATGGTTTCAAACCACGAGAGAATAGGTTTAGATTAGATATTAGTAAAAAATTCTTTACTCTGAGGGGGATGAGGCACTGGACAGAAACTAGATGATGATGTTTAAGGTCGCTTCCAACCCAGGCCATTCGCTGACTCCACGCACAGCGGCTCCGCGGAGGCCGCCGTGCCGCGGTGTGCGGGGCCCGGGGCGGGCAGGGCCGGTGCGGCATCGCCGGGGCTGCGCTGACACCTGGCGGCGACGCGGACACGGCCGAGCCCCGGGCCTGTGCTCCCGCTGAGCGCGGGGTCAGTGGGTGTTCTTAGCAGGGAGTGAGCTCGAATTGTACAGTGATGGGCACCGGCCGCTCTCCTGCCCTCTCCGAGCCCCACTGATCAGCAGTAAGGTCCTGCAGGTTTGGTGTATGCTTCTATGCTGGCTTGGGCTGGGGTAGAGTTAATTTTCTTTACAGTGGCTAGTACGGGGCTGTGTTTTGGATTTGTCCTGAACACAGGGTTGATAATATTGAGATGTTTTTGTTATTGCTGAGCAGGACTTGCTCAGAGTCAAGGCCTTTTCTTCTTCTTGTACTGCCACACTGGCGAGGGAGGGGACACAGTTGGGACAGGTGACCCAAACTGACTAAAGGGATATTCCATACCATATGACATCATGTTCAACATATCAATCTTGGGGGGCAAGAAGGAATGGAGAAGTTTGGAGGGATGCTGTTTGTCTTCCCAAGTAACCGTTACGTGTGATGGAGATGGCTGAACACCTCCCTGCCCATGGGAAGCACTGAATTAATTCTTTGTTTTAGTTTGTTTGTGTGTGCGGCTTTTGCTTTCCCTATTAAACTGTCTTTATCTTAACCCATGAGTTTTCCAGCTTTTACCCTTCCAATTCTCTCCCCAGTCCCCCTGGTGGGTGAGTGAATGAGTGGCTGTGTGGGGCTTGGCTGCTGGCTGGGATGAAAACACGACAGCCTCTATGAAAATATACGAGTGCTTAGGAATAGTCAAGAAACGCTAATTACATTTCAGGCATGATTAGGAAAAGAACAGAAAACCCCACAGTGCTATATCCCTGCATGTGCAAACTGCCCAGCATCTCTAATGCTGCTCTGATTCTTCATCTCAACACCCCCCCATATTCCATATGTGGGGGCACTGACTGAAATCATAAGTAAATTCTGGAAGAGTCACAGGCATCAGAGAACACAGACCTCCTGGGGTAATGAGCTGAAGCCTTCTGAAGGTGACTACTGAGCAGACATACCAATACCATCATGTCAACAGTCATCTTGACCTCTGATTAGGCAGTGGAGCCATGTGAACTCTTACCAAAGATTTTCAAGATATTTCAAAGTTTTTTCCACATAGGAATTCCATTGGGAAACGAGACTTACCAGGTTGCAATTAGCTTCTTTTCCTTTTCACAGAAGGCTGATCTTCCCAAGGTGGCCAACATTCCCCAGTTCTCCATGGTCCTTGGTTTATACTCTATGTTGGCAGTTGCTCATGTGGCAAAATGTACTTCCTGTACATATTTACATTTTAAAGATTCTATTTTTTTATAAATATTAATATATGCAAGGTTTTAATTCCTTCTTAAGAGCTATTGAAATATATCTTTTAATGTTGATTTAAAAAAAGATCACTATCTAAGCCATTTAAAAATCTGTTATGTCTTCCATCTTTCTAGCATATTTTTTCCCATGGGGATATCAAATAAAATTTCTATCACCCATAACTTTTTAAGCAATATGAGCTATAGTTTCTCATGAAGTTTGTTTTTTTTCTTCTCTTACAAAGGTCCCTGTGTCAGATGTCCTAAGCTGGTAGGAGATGACTGCAGGGCCCTTGCTTCAGTCTTTGTCTGTGTGCATTACCTCAAAAGGAGAAAATATGTGTGTGTCGTAGTTTCCCATTTCCCATTTTTTGCCTTCATCTTTGCAAGTAAGTTCATCACTGTCAGCATACAGAGCAAGACAGATTTGGTAACCAGATCCAAAGAACCAGTCTTTCTTTAACAGAAAAGGACCAGACTCTAAGGGACCTGCAGTGTAGTGGAACATTAACTTTATTTCTACATGCAATAACCTAGACTCTCCAGTGTTGGGCTTCCCCAAGGCCAGAGCTACTCTGAGCTTTCTTTCAGTGGTTCTCACACAATCTTGCATTGTCTGACCTCCCTCCTTGTTTCATTTTTATGGCTTTTCCTTCTTTTCCTCCTCGATTTCCCCTTCCACAAGCTTCTGTGCTGGTTTCTGATTTTCTATGTGACTGATGGAAAAGAAGGAGATAAACCAGTATTAATCTAGTAAAGTGAACCTTCTCTGTCAGGTATCTTAAAGCTGCTGAGAGGATCTTGAAGAAACAGCCTGAGGTGAGAACAGTAAGGACAGCAAAGGTCACAAATCTTCTGACTCTTTTCTGCAAGGTGAATATTACCACTTCACACATACTACAGTGCTAAAATGCATCAAGAAGCTAGATAAGCTGTATCTGCTTTTCCCCATATATCAACTCAGCCACATTAATGGCACCAGATGAAGTCTTTGCCAGCCATTGAATTTCAACAGTTTCACCTGCTTACTGCTTAACCACAGTTGTGTAAGTTGTGCCTGAAGTACTTGGGAACTCCATGTAACCTCTGATTGAAGATTAACCAGTCTAAGGCACATCTAGCACCTAAGCATGGGTGCTTTTGGTATGGCACTGATATATGCAAAGGAATAAAGACCAAACCCAACAGAATAATTTGCTTGTCTCTGAAAACATTAGGAGGCTAAGAGCAAAACTGACCCATTGCTTCTAGCCTTAAAACTAGACTACAGCATATACTTAAACCCATTAGTATGTGCTGAGGATGGGAATATTTGGGCATGATTAACAGGGCTTTCAGCTGATGAGTCATATGTCAGAATTGACTGAAAATCTAGGGGGAATTTTGGGTCCAATGACAAGCAGTTTAGCCTGCAGCGACTGACAGCCTCTGAGGAGTTTGCTGCTGAATGCTCAGGCTCTCAGAACTTGGACACGATTGCTACAGGCACTAAGAAGAGGCACTTTCAAGAGAATGAAAAGTTCTGTAGTTTGAAGGCAAGTTTCCAGGGAAAACTAGGTCTCCTAAGAAGAGGGATCAGAGAGCAGTAAAAAAAAACAAGAGTCCCTGAGGATGGAGGAAAAGTTCTGAAGGCACAGATATGCTGTTGTTGCAAATCTTACCCTGGCTTCAGGGGGAGGACAGTGTTGAGCTGGTGCTTCTCACACAGGCTAACGAGAATGAATGAAAATGCCATTCAGCTCTGAGATCTCTGCACTCTCACAGCAAGTTTATCAAATAGGAAAATAAGACTAACTTCTAGTTTGATTCAACAGAACTTCTAAGCATACAAGGTGTTTTTTCATCTACCTTTTACTTAGGTAAGTAATGGACTGGCCAAAAACATATGTCCCTTCACATCCCAAGGTGAAAAAGGTTATATTTATTTAGTGTTGACCCAAATTAAAATAAGAAAAACAAACCAGGACAGTAAATGAAGTCACTCACATACCTATAATCCACAACTGCTGTCTGATTCCGTTCTAGATTGTGCACTGGTTCCCCAATTTGGACTCAATCCAGTGGGGATTGGGTTAGGGTTAGGGTTGCTAAGAGGAGAAGTGCTAGAAAAACTGGGTAATTTTAAGCAGAAAAATCCTCCATATCAGACTGGGGCCTGGCCATCTTTTAATAGGTGAGCAGATGGCCTGATGCATGGTGGAAGGGATGCAAAAAATCCAGAGTGGTGATGAGGAGGCAATTTCACTCTTTTTTTTTTTGCGTTTTTTTGTAAAAGAACATCATGGCTGGCTGACTGTTGCTACTGATCCCAAGCACCATGCTGGTTTTGTCAGGAAGAGAACTGTCTTTTCCATTGTACAGGTGAGGGTTTAGATGCTTTTTTCCCCCACTTTCCCATAGCAGTAACACATAAGTATCTATCAATATCCTATGTACCCCGTAAAAACAGCGGATGTCTGTCCATTATCACTGGTGCCATCTGCAGTATTTATTGGGTGTCACAACACTTCTGTTGGTCTCCTTCAAGGCTTAACTTTGTGATGAGTGAATTTTGCCTTTTAGCCTGAACAATGTCATCAGAAAGGCTGGCTGGTGGCTGTGCTGCAGCAGAAGGGTTCTAGAGCAGTACCCTGACAGAAGAGGATTCTGGCCAGCTTTCAAAGGCACACCTGCATCATGGCTTTCCAGAAGGCTGCCACAGGAATCTTCATGTTTCCATTCTCATTAATAATCCTAAAAAAGTCTCAGAGTTGTAGGTTGTGCTCTTTCAAATAGTTCTAATAGAAACAGAGATAAAACATGAGCATAACCATGAAACAGCCACTGATACCTGCTCTCTCCTTATTCTTCCATCTGTCACCCTGCCTTTGCTCAGCCCATCACTGAGAGATATGAGTTCTTTACTCCTTACACAGTCACCATATTGCCAGAACAAAGTCCTTTTGCTCAGGTTAATCCCATTCTTCTCAGTTATACCTTCTTCTCCCGCTACCTTGAAATGAGACTCAGTAGTAAACCTGTTTTTTTCTGATAATTACATATGGTTATTTGGTCTTCATCCAGTAGCCACTGCTTGGTTAGGCTGTCTAATCGAGACGGTTCTCTCCCCCAGGTCTCTAATCACTTTAGTTACTCTTCTCTGAATTCCACCTCTGAATGGGGACACGCTGAATACCATAATGGCTATTAAAAACTGCAAAGTATGGTAGTGCAAGTGTCACTAGCTGTGAAGCACAGCAGCACTGTTTGATGTGAACTAACAGCCCAAGCTTTTGCTTAAGTTCATCCCAACCCTTATCTACAGCAAGACCTCATCCAATTAGTTGAAAATCTGCGCAGCAGTTAAGAAACACAGTAAAGCTGGTAGTGCAAAGGTGTTATTTAGCTCAGCAATGCTCAAGTGCTTGCGTTGGCTTCCAGCAAGGAGGACAGCACCATCTGCTGCTATCCATGGAAACTGCAGACCTTGAAAAGCTACATAATGTCTATTTAGGACAGTATTTGCTTGTAATACCATATTCTATTTTTCTGAAGCACTTTAATTTTGATGCTAAAGCACAATTGTCAGTGAAGTGTTCTATGGAAGTCAGCTGTTGTGGTGGGCTTGTGATGAGGAATAGACATTAATTAATCAATTAACGTGTTTTACACAGCAAGCAGACATCTATTCCCATTCCCTTTTTCACCCCCCAGTGCTCTTAGATCCCAAGGCAATAGCTTCTCCTGAAAAGCAAAGGATTTGCTTAGTCAGTCTGTGTGAACTGAGATATGTGAACATCGTGACTGTCTTTGTAAATTTACTTTTCTGAAGGAAGTTGGCTGAATTTCTGACTTGAAAGGAAGCTTACCTTTCAGCCTCCATCCCTCCAAGTATCGGGGGCATGTGTACTGTGTACAGGCAGTAAGGACCCAAATTCAGTAGCTCACGTGAATAACTTCCATGGGATTTGGATACTGTTGGGGATCTTGATGATACAGCCTTCAACCTCACTGTAGATGACATCTAGTTCAGGACGCACTTGACACACCAAATCCTGCAACTTGATGAAAGTTTCATTCACCAATTCATTCTGGCACACAGGGTCAAGGTAAGTGCACTCAGCATGGCCACCCAGAGAACAACAAAGATTTTCTTGTATTCACAAATACATTAACCATTCTCTCCTACAGATGCTGCCTTCTGCTATCTCTGCTCTTCACTTTCAGGAATCCCATGGAGGTTTGACCCTAAATAAATGTTCTTCTTTCTCTTTTTCCATGTCTGAGAGAGAAAGATCTACTAATTTAATGCAAGGTAGGTGGTCATCACTGAAGATCTCTTATTTTTGGTGATTCAAGTAATTAATGTTCATCCCTGAGACAGTTCTCTCCATTCTGTTAAGATGCAGACTGCAAGGTGAACAGTTAATGGCCTAAATGTGCCATAGAGCTCTGCAAAAATGAAAAACAAATCACCCAAGACCTTAAAGGATTAGTATCTCCAGCAATATAGCTTTATAGCCCAGACAAGAAAGATGATCCTATCTGGGGAGGATCCAGGTGTCTCCAGATGAAAAGAACTTTTCGTAAAGCTCTCTTTCAGTGTGTAACCATAAGAGGAAGCTCCAGTGAGCAGTAGAAGACCTGATATTTGTTTTTTCCTAAGAATTTCAAACAGGGTAGTGACAGCTCAGCATTTCAGAGCTCACATTGTAAGTTTTCTGTTTTAACATTTACTGAATGGGGAGCAGCACAGTGTCCCAATTTAGGGGTTTGGAATATTAAAAAGAAAGCTATCAATGCAAATAGTATTGATGTCACTGTAAATTATTCTTCTAAATTTAAGTTATGACAAATGTGCCTTGATTGATCTTTTAAAGACATGACTGTGGTTTTGTTCATGCCCATGATGACAGGGGAATTGTTCATGTATTATGTTAGTTATATACTTATTTGTTGGAAATTTCAAGTCAGTTCGGGAAATTCATGAAAGCTTCTGTTTCTGTCATTGTGGGAGGTTTCCACAGCATCAAGCACTGTATATTTTTGCTGAAAGTTAATTTACAAAGTTTCCCAATGCATTCTTACATCTTCTTTTTAGAAACTTAAAATCCATTTTTCTTAAGATCCATTTACTGTGTAGAGTAACAGCTCTTGAGTGTTACTACTCAACAACAGTCTTGAACAAGTCTGGGTCCAGCTGGGTTTACTGCCTTTCATTCAGCATCAACGGTTTTATGGATGCAGAGTGCACACTAGGAGAGTGACCTAGTCCTGGGAATGAAACACAGGAAAGCCCAAGCTGGCTCTGCTGGCTGCCAGCTCTCTCCAGGGTTGCCAGCTTGGCTTGAGCCCATGACAAAGCCGGTGGACTGCCAGTGCCACCTCAGAAACAGCGTAGCCAAAGCACCATGTCTGGCCTAACAAACCATGCTGGGATTGGGTGGCACCTGGAGAGAGCCAGCCTGGGTGTTTCTGCATGTTTGACACAGTCAGTCCAGTCCAGAAAAACAACACACAGACAGCTGAAAAGCAACAGTAATTTCTTTTGTACTGTGATGCGGAAGATGAGCATTTGCTGGCTATTTTGATTCACGACTTTTAGAAAATGTTTGATTGTCAGTGTCTGCAAGTTGGAACCCTATAAAGAGTAGATTATGAAAAGAATGTGGGGAACAGTCATGCTTAGAAATGTTGTCAGAAGGAATAAACTTGTTAAAATGTGCCTTTCTATTACTTCGCCATTGCTGGTGCTGTCAAACCCATGGAAAGGTTTCTAGATATGATCCTTATTCCATATACCTCTTATAGACACGATAATTATTCATTCTTTAAAAGTCAAGATAAGCATTTATCCCTGAGAAAAGGGGCAGAAGAGGCTTTTGTTTATATTTTCCCTTAAGTTTCCTGTAAAAGATTAAAACCTTTACTAATTTCTCAAAGGTTTAAGACAATGTAAGGTTGTTGGCTCTGTATATTTACAATTATTCTGAATTGAAATGCAAGACTCCCTACATCACATGTGGAATGAAGTCTGGCAGACAGATTAGATGTTTTCCTACAAGCATTTGATTGGGATACTGAAATATCATTGTAAATTTATGCCATTGACCATTTATCTTGTGAAATGCCAGGTAATTTAGACTTTTTCAAGGGTGAGGTGAAGAGAACAACTCTTTAACCTTAAAAAGCAGAAATTCATAGTGAGATTTCTTGAGTGCTTCCTCTTGAATAAATGCATTTTAATAATTCCTTTTAATTTATCAGATTTTAGCTAAAATTTATTAGTGTTTTCAATTTTTTAATTGTTTAGGTTATTCGTAATAAAACTAGAGGAACCACATCTACTGTAATGCAGTCCTTTACCCCCATACAGCCTGTTTTAGTTTTCCTTTGCAGAATGAGGCCTGACTCCTTGCAGACTTGGAAAATAATTCTCTTTGATCTTAATTTATGCAGGAAAAAAATCTTTACCCTAGAGGAACGCCTGTTCTTCAGATGATCTCTGTTGAAAGCACTTGATAGTCTCAGGAAAGACTATAGGTGAATATTAGTTATTCTGCTTATTTTTAGGTTGTTTCTCTAATATACTAACCACAGGACAAAGAACACATGCAGATGTAACTTAGATACAACCCATTACATGAGTGTCCAAAACTGCCTGTGAACTTTACTTTTACCTTGTTTCAAGCATGAACATATTATTTATGTCCCAAATGTAATTTTTGTGAAAATTCTCTTTCCTTTAATCGTGCTGCTCCCAAAGGCGGGCAGAGGGCCCTGAGGCCCCTGACACCTTCTGTAACTGCTCCCATGAGGAATCAGTGCATAGATGGAAGTGCCAGGACTGGACTGATATGTGCTTGGGTCTCTCCCCCATGTTGGTCTGCAATGCAATTCCTGCCCTCACTCAGGAGCATTTCTTAGAAGCAGCACATGAGGTTACAACAACATGTATTATGCTCCAGCATTGCTACAGAGTAGCATACTAATATTTGTCCTCTTTGATCTCTTCTTCCTTCCTCACCAGCCTTTTAATGTTTGATTTGTTTTGGGGTTTTTTGTTGGTGCTTGCTTTTTTTTTTTTTTTTAAATAGAACTGCTTTGCTTTCAATGCCTTGAAGCATCCATCTTCTTCTATTCCTCACACAGACTGACAGAGTATCAAAGCACTTCACAGTATCTAGTATCTTAGGCTACTCTGGAGGAAGACAGCTCAGGGATGAAGAGAATTCATCCTGCAGTGGGAATTCACTCTTTGTTCTTGTTCTGCTATTACAAAATGGATAGGAATGAAATGTGGTGAATCTGTAAGCACTTTTTCTTCCCATTCTTCAGCAGGGCTGTGGAAAAGCTGTGGTCCCTTTCAAGGGGTTTGTCTGTTGTCTCACTTGTCTCTGCTCCACAAAAGTCTGCAATGCAGTTTCCAAGTGGAGTTACCTTCTCAGTTTCTCTCTGTCTCCTTATGTGAAACTCCACATATCAGGTCCCTTACATCTGTCATGCAGGAAGATGTGATGTGGATCATGTTCAGTCATGTGATGGGGAGAGGCTGAGGCAATGGGCTGCATTTGAATGTGTGCTTTCTAGGAGGGTCCCTCTGGATGAGGGTGTGTGCCTCGGGAGATTTCCCATACCATTGGTTCCTATTGGCAGTGCAGAAGATCAGAGCTCAGGCTGCTTGTCAGCCTCCGGCCTGTGAGGTCTGGCTATCTGGCATTATGGGGTTGGCATTGCCAAGTGCATCTCTTAGCGTGTGAACATCATCTGTCCCCCATCTTGGACTTCATGTGCAGTCCCCATTCCCACTATTATAAAGAAAACTTTCTTTGTTACTGTTGGCCAGCAGAAGACATGTCCTCCTTTAAGTCCTTTGTGCTATCAGCTCCTAAGACAATCTGTATGACTATGGAGAGAGAGAAATGCCTTGGTGTGAGCTAGTGACCTTACCTCAAGCCAGGTTAAGAGCAAGGCAGACAGACATGTTTATTTACATAATCTAAAACAGCAGTGCAAATGACTGATGTAATTGCAGTGATTCACAAAGACAGGGGTGTCCAGAGACAGGCTTACATTAACAGATTTAAAGATTCCTCTCAAGCCATTTGCAGACTCTCAGGATGGTGATATTAGATCTAGCTGAGGATGCAGCTCATAAGAAAGCTGACTTTACTGAGCTGAATTCCCAGAGTCTGATCTTGGATTGAGAAGACATGTTAGCTCTCCACCCTAACCTCGGAAGCCATCTTGGCTAGTTGTTTAGTTTTGCCCTTTCCAGGATTATTGATCCCTTGATTCCTAGAAGGCAGTTTTGGCCATTCTTATTCCAGGACTTGATAATACTCCTCTACTTTAGGTAGTGCTGTGGCATTGCCCTGTTGTGAAAATGACAGTTTATCCTGTACTTGAATAAATTCTTAGCAAATGATTTACATTGTGAAGGAGGAAAATAGAGAGAGGGAGGATTTCTTATATTAATAGACACTGCCTGTTTTTCTCACTGTGAAAAATGGCTGGATTCTCCTTGCCACATCTAAAATATCAAGTCTCACTCTGCTTATGTTTGATTAGCAGAGGAGAGGAATTCAGTTTCATATGGTAGCTGTGCCCACCTGTATGTATATGTGCCAGTGCCAATGCCAATTCACATGCATTGCACACCTCACAGTGTAAGTTCTACTTAGAGCAGGGTGTGTGTGAATTCATTTGTGTCTACTGTGACACTGGGAGGGAGAGGACTTGCTGCCAACGCTTGCTTCTCATTCTCAGAGAGAGTTTCTCATCCAAATTTTCCATGTATGGGAAGTTGGATGGAGACAGATGGTGAATTTAGCTGACTTAAAAATATTCCTCCAAGAAACAAAACAGAAAAGAAACTGATTCTGCAGTAATCTCTGCTGCTCCTGCTTCAAGTGGGCTGGAAGGAGAGAAGAGCTGTAAAACCTTGAATTTTGGAGAGACATTTTTCTAGACTAGGAAGGTCACAAGTTTCAGTACTGATCTCTGTGTTGCCTTCAAGCTTGTTCAAGCAGGGTCACAGTGCCTTGTCCCCACTTTAGTTTTAATTGATCCATATTTCAAAGACATGGACTTTTATTAGAAAGAGATACATATCAATAGAAATACTGAACCAGGAGAAGGAAAGCATTAATTAAACTAAAGGCATTGTGTTACTGCAATGCTCAAGGAACACTGGATGCTCACAGCACATGCTTGTGGCCTTTATGGTAGCAGGTGTGTTGAGCATACTGGGGGAAGAAGAGCCCTCAGATATTCATGCAAGTCCTTTACAATGTAGTAATAGCACCTGAGATTACTGAAATACTGTTTTGTTTGCTTTCCCTTTCAAGGGCTACTAGCACACTCTGGATCTCACTTTGTCTGAACAGACAGATTAGGCATCTTAATTTTATTCCTTCCTAATCTGTTTCTCTTGCTGTTTACTGTGCAATGGCTAAAATCATTAGGGTTTGGGCTACTTAAGAAAAACTGAAATAGCTCCTGAACTTTGTAACCAGAAGCTTACAATGAACAACAATTCTGATTCTATGAGATTTTAGTAGAGTGCAATTTTCTGCTTTATACGCCCTGAGGGACTTGTTTTTCATCTCCTCTCTGACAGACTGCTCTGTTACTGTGTTTTCTCATCCTGCATGTGGGTTCTCATACATTAGTCATTGTTGCTAGAGTCACCTGTGGTCATGAGGGTGAGTCTGTGGACCATCCAGGAAGCTCTGAATCTGGGTGCCCTGGCTTTTGTAGTATGAACCAGGTCATGGGGCATTTTTGCTAGAGAAGGAAATATGTGTTCCATCAAGTCCCCCAGTGCCTGTACTCCTGTGTCCTGGTTTTTGGCCAGGACAGAGTCAATTTTTTCACAGTAGCTGTGAGAAGGCAGACCCTGGAGGCATGTTTCGTGTCCAGGTTGTTATTCTATACTACCTCACCTCACTGCTGGGGCGGAAGTAAGGAAATCTTGCTTCTGAGAAGGTGGATGTGGCTTGCAGTCAGGACTAAGCTTAGGTGTGGAGGTCCATTGTTTGTTATCCTGGAGTCGATCAGTGAGCATTTTCTGCATGTAAATCACCCTTTTTTTGTATAGTTTTGTTATTAATATTGTTGCTGTTACTGTTCGTTATCTCATTGCTGTTTCCAGTAAATTGTTTTTATCTCAACCCATAATCTCTGCCTTTTGTCTCTGGAGCGGGGAGAGGAGCATCTTGTGGTTTGGAGTGCTGTTCCTAAACCACGACATCCTGGTTTTGCAGGAGTAATAAATTAAGTCACCAAGCATCTATCCCAGGAGCTGTCCTCCTTTCTCAGAGGACACTCCTCGTGGCTAAGGTTCAGCCCCTTCACTTGGTCATTGCCCTGCAGAGAGACAAGTGTGCAGAGACAATGTGATCTTCCAGCCAGCTGCAACCAGATGCCATACCAAGGCCCCCAAGTGAAGATGAAAAAGAGGGATATCAGAACACTGAAATCTTCAGTGTATGGGACATCAGCAGCACAGAGATTGTGGCACTGCATGTCCCAAAAGACATATAACATCACAGTGATTATCTTCCTAAACTGGCAAAAGCAATGGAATTTTGTGTTATGTAAACTTCTCTCACACAGCTCATGTGTGGCCTGGTACACGTCCTGTAATTTTTCCTGCCCCTCTTCCTCTCCCACCATTGTACCTTTACCAAGAGCCCTTTCTGATATCAGGGCAAGGCCTTGCTTCAGGGCAGCTGCTGAAGGTGCCAAACGATGCAGAGGCTTTGAGATAGAAACTAACCAGAGAAGTCAATCCTCTTATTTTTACTGAAGAATTGCAAAATTTTATGAAGTTGGGTTATGTTACAGAGTTCTGAACATTTGTTTCTCAGACAGACACATGCAGCTGTCCTGAAAAAATGTTGATGCAGTTCATCCAGCTCTGTGTCCTACCAACATCTCTTATTTCTGAACTAAGCGAGAGGCACTTAGCGGAATTATGCCAGGAAATCATGTGGGCATTGCCAAGTGAAATCATGCCAAGTGAGTAGCAGCTTCAAGATGAGAAGGGTCTGTTACACAGCCAGGGCTGCAGATGACCTTGGATTTCAGGTAATTCACTATTAATGCCTAAGCAAAGTATGGTGCAGTCTCCTCTCCGAAGTTGTTTCCTGGGGTAAAAAAAGTATGTTAACAATGCACTGATCTATCCCTTGGTGCTGTGTTGGGGTCTGCAGAAAGTTGTGCTTTTAGATAGAATCTCCAGTTCATCACAGTCCATATCTGGCTGTAAGAAGTTGTGGTGGGTTGACTTTAGTTGGACACCAGGTGCTCACCAAGACACTTTGTCACTCCCCTCCTAAGCAGGACAGGGGGGAGAAAATAACACAGAAAAAACCTATCTTGTAGGTCAAGATAAAGGCAGTTTATTAAAGTAAAAGAAAAGACCATACACTGAAGCAAAGGAAAAGATTTATTGTCTATTTCCCATCAGCAAGTGATGTCCAGTCACTTCCTGTGAAGTCAGGTTTCAATATGCATAGTGGTTGCTCTGGAAGACAAATGTTGTAATAATAAATGTGCCACCACTTCCTGTCCCCACTCCTCCCTCCCGCGCCTTTCTCTTTCATACCATATGGTTGGAATATCCCTTTGGTCAGGTTGGATCAGCTGTCCTGGCTATGTACCCTTCCAAGATCTTACCCTCTCTCAGCCTAATGGTGAGGGGGGATGTTGGAGAGACAGTACAGAGACAAAACTCTGCTGTGTTTATCAACACCTTTCTAGCTACCAGTACAGATCACTATGAGGACTGCAATGGGGAAAACTAACTCCATCTCAGCCAGACCCAATAGAGAAGTGAGTTGTTATTTTATTTTGCTCCACAGTGTAGAATTACCCTAAGATGTGGGAGGTGCTCCAGTAATTATCTAAGTTTCTCTTGAGGGTCTGTTTTTCAGAGGTGCTGGAAGTTGAGCAGGCTAAATATTTAATCACATCACTAATAATAATAACGGCCCATCTTCGCGAACGAAGATTTGGGGAAAGGTCTTTTACCTTTCCAGCCTGCGCAATGGATTTTTTAGGTGAGACACAGCCTGCGCTGAACTGAGCCCACCCTTTAATCCTAAGGTTCATCTGCCGGGGCCAAGCAAGCTTGGACAATGGCAGTGAGGTCCTCAGGACGTAGGTTTGTTTAGAGTGTCCTTCTCATAGATGGATGGCCACACAGGGCTAACGACCTCCATCAGGCCAGGAGACCGGGATTTGAACCCGTGGTCGCAGCAGTGAAAGTCCTGCACGCTAACCACTAGGCCACCAGGGGTCTCGCCTATCACATCACTATAAGTCTAGATTTACACTGTTACTCTGGGTTCCCATCAGTGACACAGCGGAGAGTTTGACTTTGCTCATAGTCTGAGTAATATTCTCAGGGGGAGAGACTGGAATGAAACACGTTATTTCACTTCTACTTCCATCACTATTTGTGAACATACAGCCCCCTCCAGAGCTGAAGACCATTGAGGTAGGACACGTTATCCAAAAGCAAACTGGCAATGGATTCAGCTCCTGATGTGTCTAGGCAGTTATAAGAGATGTTTTGGAAGGAAAGAAGGGAGGATAAGAACTATGAGTCCAAAGAATGTATCAGCTTTACCGTCTTCTTAATGCCCCAGATATCAAGGGAGTAATTACTGTGTGAGTTATAGATGTGTTTAACCCTGTATCCTTCCTAACAGGAATAAAGCCCTAGAGCCATCAGTTTCACATGGGTTTTGTCTTCAGTGAATCAAGAGGCATTTGGCCAAGAATCTTTTCTTTCAGCGTAATGCAAATCCCATGGCCTATCAAAATGCATTTTGTATACCTCAGTTTCAGATCAAAGGAACATTCCTACCAGTTCATATCTGAAAGTCTTGCATTATTCCCTTAATTTATTTAGAAAAGTTTCCCCATGTCATATTGGAGAAGTAAAGTTCCTGACCAAAATATTTTTTTTCCGTTGTCTAAGCATAAAGTGGAAAGACTTAGTTATGGTAATTATTGTTACATCTGCTAATGAAGATAGCACTTCCAGACTCACCAGACTGCCATTACATACACACTTCTGCTTTTCAGAAGCTTGTACTTTTTAAAAGTAGCATAGCACAAAATATCATGACTTTCAGAATGTGAATGTTTTTGCATGGGAACAGCCGCTATTTGGTTAAAATATTAATGGAATGAATTTGTTTTCTTTCAGATGATTGAACTTGATGAGCAATAATTTTGACTCACAAACTATGTCAGATGGGGTACCAGTTCTTGAAGGGAGGAATTCTCTCATAGCATCTCTGCTATGCATATGGCTCCTACCAAAATGCACTTTTCTTCTAACTCTAAATGGGTGGTGGTTGTGTTGGACTGGGAGGATAAAAAGATAAACAGAGACATGCAAAAACATTACTGCAAAGTTAACAAAGAGGATAGTTTTCTTAGTTCAACAGATGCTGGGCATTTCCTCCAAACCTTAGGAAGCATTGCAGGTCTTGAGCAGGACTGTGATCAGGGGATATGACAGAGCCATGGCTGTGGGAATTGCACATAAAAGAGCTGTTTTCTTGGAGGGTAGGACTTTCTGTTGCTTTGTGCCAGGAGACCCAGGCTCAGGTCCCAGCTTCAATTCAGGCATCTTGGGCCTGTCCATTGCTGAGTGTAGTGCATACCTATGCAGAACCCAGAGTGGGATACTAGTCCCTCTACCCCTATCTGTGGCCCTGTATGGGTTAGGAGAACTGAGGACTTGTGATCCATGGAAGAGCATCAGTTGCTCTTGGGGTTACCCCATGAAAGACCATCAGTTGCCACACAAAACATTTCCTGTGCAGAGGATTAGAAACATTAGGGATGCTCAGAGTTCCAATGGGGAAGATACAGGACTTTTTGTCCCACGCTGTGTACTCAGTGATGACTTCCAGGCCTGAGAGAGGCCTAAAATTCCTACTGTTCTTGAGAACAGTGGCTCCACTGTTACTGGCTACTCACCACCATAACACTAACAGTGACTTTGACACCTTTGAGTCCTAGACCATGGTGGTTCAGATTTATAAAAGGCTTGGCCAAGTTTTGAATAAAGTGTAAGACAGGCACCACCTCCATCAGCCTGTATACATCTACAAAGGCCTTCCCAGGTTCTACAGAGAAATAGTATGTTGATGAGTGGTGCATCAAGTGTTGTCCCTCCTCTTTTAAATAAATTAAGAAACTTAATAAAATTAAGGAACACTATGCAAAAACAGTACAGTTTTATTCTTTAAGGGTTATCATCCCCTAGTTCTCCCCATCCCTTTATCCCAGACCTCCAGGCATTAATGTGTCCTCCTTGCTTCTCCATTTGGCATCCAGTGACTTGCTGCAGCTTTTCACCAGTCTGCAATGTGACTGAACTTTTTTTGGTGTAACTGAGAATTCTTGACATCAGGCAAAAACATTTTTATCTTTTTTTTAAATCTTAATTGAAGCATGCAGCTGATATTGACAGCAGAGGTAGGGCAGCTCAGAACATTTTGGCTTACAACCAGCAGGAAGGATCTCAGCATTCTCATCTTGGCCACTGGGTGTTGTTGACACAGCTGCAGTGAGACATATCAGTGCAGCTGGAGGCTGTATTTCCACAAAAACCTGTCATTTGGATTTCCTTCATCAAACCCCATACTTAGAGCTCATATTTCTCCATGTTGTGATATGCATTCAGTGGTCTGACCTCAAGAAAAATTCCCCTTTCATCAAAGCCATTTTCCAGTTCAGTTTGAAGCCTCTAACAAAACAGTCCTTGTTCTTGCATTCTTATGGTTTTGGATTTCCCTTCCACTTAGGTTAGAAAGTTCTTATCCTAAATTATGGATAAATCTTACTATTACAAAAATGACTTGCTTAGCCAGAGGACTGACTTCATGAGGCAGAAAATAAAAGGAGAGCCACCAGAAAAGTTTAGAACGGTTGTGGCAAACCCATGGTGTGTAGACCCTAAGTGCTATGCAGTGTTTCATCAGGAGTGCACAAACAGGGGTGCAGTCCCATCCCTGGTTTCAGATAGCTGCTCCTGATGTCCAGACAGTGGTCTGGGCTGGCAGTATTGGCTATTAATGACTAGAGGAGAGAAAAAGGAACAAAGAAATAGCTGTGGTGTGTAGAGAGCAGTTGAGGGAAGACACTGGACATCAAAGGGAGAACTCTTAAGGGGAAATTCATTCCCGCCTCTGCCTTTATCAATTGTCAGACTACATGTGGTTGTCAGAATTCTGGCAGAATTGTGTCCTTGGTGTCCATTTTGAATACATACCAGTTAGTAGGTACAGTTCTGGCTGTAAGGGAAAGGATAGTGAGGACAGATGGTCAGAAAACATTCAGCTTCAACCTCATGGTCAGTGTCAGGGGCTTCTGTGGCCTTCTCTGCTGAGGCATCAGCCAGAGACACAGACTCCTGAGACTCACTGATTTTGACATCTCTTCATTCTAGTCTGCCACGAAAAAGATTCAGTTTGTCAATGCAAGCCCAGCAGAGATGTGACTCCTGGGGTGTGATAGATCTCCCACTCCTCTCACTGAAGCCCCTCTTCAGCATGTTGCAGATGTACTCCTCCTGCATCTCTGCTTCATGCCCACCACTCCATGCACATTGTATGCATGTGGTGCTGGCCCCAGTGTGGGGATAGGCTCACTCTAGTGCTTGGAAGTGTTTGAAAAAGGTCTTCTCAAATTCTTCAGCCCATGTGCAAGGAACTCACAGTTCTCCCACATTAGGTCTTTGTTCCCTCACAAGCTGCCTTTCTCCCCTTTCTCAATTTCTGAGCCCACCAGCCAAAGCAAATTTGTCATCTTCATCCCATTTCTCCACAAGTGTACAAGCAAAACCCATGCCATCTTCTCCTGCCTCTCTTGAACTGACTCACACTTCCCCAGGCACTGTTGGCCGACTTTGTGATCAGACTGGGAATGCTTTGCAGTACTCCTCCTGAATGGCAGAAGAGACAGCATTTGAATGGTACTGTCCATTGGGATTGAATGTAACTAGACTCACCAGGAGTGATATAGCTTCTCTTGCCCACAATTCATAATTTATTTCACAGTTAGAGAGAAGGAGAATTTGAAAAAATCCTTTTTAACAAGAATAAATGCATAAAAAAATAATGAAGTGTGATTTTGCCAAAATAATTTCTGCCTAATAGCATAATACATATTTTTTTCTTCTCTAAATCTTCCTTTTCATTTCTTGTCACTGCATTTACTGCCTTCTTTCCTTACTGTCTGTTTCCATTTAGAGCTCCAGGCTGTTGATCTGAAATTTTGTACCCTTCCTGGGTGTCACCTAGTATTGATGTATGATGTGGAGCTTGCAGTTTGGCTGTTCATTCAGACCTATGTGAGGGGAAGACTGGCCAGCTGGTACCCACATCACCACATTTCAACCAGCCCTGCAGCTGCAGCTCCTTTATTAAGACCTTTTCCTTCTGCCAGACTTTATTTTTCAAATGATGGGTTTACTTGCATTACTTTAGTGTGAGAAAGACAAAAGAAAGGGTAAAAATAGGTCTAAATCCCATGAAAGAACTCATGAGACAAGTCATATGCCCAGTACATTAGCCAGTCCCAGCCTGTGGACTGAGTCTTCTGAAGTAGATTCAGAAGTGATCTCTGCACTTCATAAATTGCATTATATTCTATTTAAATATAGAAAAATGAGCCAAAGAGAGAAGTTGTCCCACATATATCCCTACCTTACAGTAATTGCATTATTTAACTATTATATATATATAACAACAAAAGAAAACAAGAAATTAACTTCTAATGACAGACAGGCCAAAGGAGTTTTTTAATTTTAAGAGGAATTGTTATGCTGACCTAGGAATTCAGGCCAAAGTGCTGTGAGCAGTCCTGGGGCCTGACTCAACTGTGTAGAAGCACAGCCTGAGAGCAGCAGGTTCAGAAAACTCTACTGCCCCTCACGCCCTGCCTGTCCTTCTGGGCAATGGAGAGCTCAAACAGGATCTGGTCTCACAAGATGCTGAGCTCTGACATCTGTTGTGGGCATTAGAGGCAGCTGGGTGGAGTGTCTTGGAAGCTGGTACTGGCAAGCCCTCTTATGATTAATTTTGCTTTTTTCCAAACTGTTCCCAGATGGCAGCTCCCATCTCTGGGCACTGGCACCCTGGATCCCTGATCACTACCCTTCTCCTCATTGCTGCCTGACCTAGAGAAGAGAAGCCTTCCCACCTGGTGATCAACCTGCTGCAACAACAGTCTGTCTTGGGTGCTGGTGATTTTTCTTTGGCTATTTCTGACAATTGCTGAAGTGAGTTTGCCAGTAAGTAAACACTGCACCTGCGTCCTTCTTAGACTCATTCTCTGTGTCACCATTAATGAGTTGCAGGTTCATTTGCTTTTTCTCTTCTGTAAATGAGAAGTTCACAGCGACTTCCTAGACCCTGTAAGTTTCTCACACCTACACACAGAAAGCACAGCTGCTTGGCTTCAATTAAAACATCTCCAGGAGGAATGGTACCACTTGTAAGATCTATATTCTTGATTTCTATTGCTTCTAAATAGGAGAATCCCATTTCTGGCTTGCATGGGCTGTCCCGGCGCTATGAGAAAGCCCTGCAGAGCCTGTGGTTGCCCTGTCCTGCCACCACCACTCTTCTGTGCCACTTGCATCTTCTGACTCCTAAGGGTGACATTCAGTGTTGGAAACCCGATTGCTCTGGGATCCAATCAGCTCCCAGTAACTGAGAACAGCTGTGGTTTTGGCTGTGGAAACCCCCACAGATGTATCAAAGAGTTGTGCCATGCTGCTGATAAGAGTTCTTGTCTCCTTTAAGTTCATATTCCAGTGTGTACAATTTCATGGGAAAGTCAGACTGTGGCAGTTACAGTCTTAAAAGAGATGAGGATAGAAATGTATTCACTTTTTTAGTCTTGAACAGATTTAGACTTCCCTACTGCCAAATTCCCAGTAAGTTAAGTAATAAAGTGTGGCTTGTAAACATGTCAGCACTTATTGGGGCCTTGAATCAAGTGCTCATTCATCCCACCAACTATTACTGGTGCCAAAATTGGTTCAGTGCTTATTATTTTACATCTTTTATACTGAGGACTTTGTAACTTTTCCTAAGGGGCTAAAACCAAAACTGTAACAGAAGAGGCTTTCTGATAAAGGTTGGGCAGAACTAATTCATATACTTAGAAATATTTCCATAATAGGCAGTGCTCAGTGAATGTAACCTATAGTACAGACGTTGAAATTTATGTAGCCAACACAGTGTAATATGTAAAACAGAGAAGAAGAAAAAGTCTGTTTCCCCCAAAATAAGGTAATTTTAGTGGCTTTATTCCCTTAAGTTCTACACAGACCTCTCAAGTAGTCCAGTCATTAGAGAGCGTGGTAGAGTTATATTTCAATATAGAACAACATGCCACAAAACCCAGTGGAAGGTTTGACCCTGAAGCAGATGACCATTGTCAGCTTTGATTTTATTGCCAAAGTTTGTAAATATTTTTTCTAGTGTAGGACAAACAACTATGGCTGTTTGGCCACAGTTGCTTGCTTGTTTATAGCACCAGCTAACATTCTTCTCTGATTTCAGTCTGATTATTCTGATGTGGGTTTCTTAGATCTTTGCTTTTAAAGAACAGCCTAGTTTTAAATGACCCAGTCATCAGCTCCTGATGTTGCAGATACTTCCTCTGGAGAACACCCTCTGTTTTCTGACGAGAAATGAAAACCATTGATGGTTTGGTTACTGCAACAGATGGGAGACCACAGTCCAGTTCCCTGCTCTGCCAGAGACATTTGTGGGATTTGAGACAAGTCACTGCATTTATGGTCTGTGGTATTTTATAACTGGGGATTTGAAAAGGAGACTGGTAGGATTATTATTTATATACGTTATAACATCATCTCAGGTCCTAGCTGTGGACAGTCATTGTGCTAATCACCAAGTGTTTTGTCTAACATTGATGCCCTGGCCTGACTGTGCTGTGACACAGCAGCTGGTCACCATCAAGGGAGCAGTTTGGCAGCTATCATCAGTGCAAAAGGCAGGGATGACATGAATCTTGACTTCATTGCAGGTGCCCATCTTGAAGAGTTTGGAAGAAGGCTACTGAGATTGCACATTAGAAAGGTGTATTTCATGTAAAAAGCTGTAGTGTGCTCAGCTTGATCTGTTTGCCTTTAGATGTTGAAAACATTTAATTGTGGCATGAAGCAAACAAGAAACTCCTGGACTTCAACGAGGACTTTGCTTTTCATATGCAACTGTCTGGTTGCAACATGATCTCAACTTGCAGAG